ACCCCCAAGAACAAAAGTCGGTCTACTCGACGAGGGCAATCCGACAACACCAATTTTTCCCAAATTTTGGAAAAAGAAAGGGTTAGGGTTAGGCATTGAAGAGTTATTTTTGGGTATTCTAAAGAGATTTTCTTCTTTGTTTATGCTACAAGAGGTAAGGGTTCCTCCTATTTAGAATTACTTGCATTTGTAGATATGTATATGGTATGGGTAGGGTTATGTAGAACGTTTACATATCCACCATATAGCTAGTATAACTAGTGAGAAGTTTGGCAAATTATTGAGCATGTTATATCTAATTCTATTTGATTAGGGTAGTGAATATGTCAAGTATGTGTGGAATGAATGGGTATGCAATGTGTGTTCACTTATGGAATGTCTAGGTGTTTGATAAAATGTCTATGTATATGCAAGTGTGTTATTTGAGTTGGTAATGCTTATAACATACTTGGTGATGCTTATGGAATGCCATTATATGCCTTGTGATATAATTAATATTATGATGGAATGGAATTGCAATTGTACATTTCATTGCATATACACGGGTTGCACTATAATTGTGGACATTGACATGAGTGTAAATGGGTATGCATGGGTTTGGGTCAATCACCACTTATTTGAGTTGATGGGTGGGGCTTGAGAAGATTGGACTAAGGTCCAATTGAGTCTCACTCAATATTGCATGAAAAAATGTGTTAGGGTCACGACACATGATGTAATGTCATGTCATGAACCGTACATTTCAAACTCTCATCATTGATATTATACACACCCAATAACCATTTATTAATTTTTGTGTCTTTATTCGAATAGGTAATTCTTAGACTCCCACCTCCAGTTGTGCGTACATCGACATATTTTTATGAACTCGTTACACCACTGGCTAGTGTGTGACTGACAAAATAGGGCCTTGCACCCGGGAGTGGGTTCAAAGTTGGACATGCATTCATGAAATATCATTCACGGTTGACATGCTATCATTTAAATGTTACTTGTGTCACAACTTTGTATTAGAGCATAGCAATGGTAATCCGTAGTTTAATTAATGGCTAATCATCAAACAAAATTTTCTCAATTCCGCCACTGTCAGTTGCCATTTAACTTGTTCTACACAAAATATAAAAATATTAAATAGTTGCATTCAATTAAAGGAGACAAAAAGTAGATAAAGAAATCACCCTGAAATAAAAAGGAAAAAAATTACTGATATCACATGTCATTTTTTTTTGTGTTTTTAAATGGTATAACACTTATTAGTTAAAAAAATAAGAGCATAGAGATATTATTTGGAATCCATACAAAATAAATCAAAAAATTAACATAGAAATAAGATGGTTCATGTGGGTTGAACAACCAAATTAGGGACCCACCAAATAGTGTAAATAAATAAGAACCCACCAAATAAGATGCCCAGCAAAAAGATATATATACATTATCACTTTTTAGAAGAGAAATATTGAACCCCCATAATTTATATCAAAAGTCACACCAAAAATAAAATTAAAAAAAAAAAAGGAAAAACATTAATATTTAAGACATAGTTCATGAGTAGATGAAGAGGAATATTCAAACGAAAAAACTCAGTGGGATTTTGGCCGAAGAAGACGAAGAGCAGCCACCGGAGAAGACAAAGAGCAGCCACTGGAGAAGATGATGAGCAGCCGCCGGAGAAGACGTTCATCTGCGTTGGAGTAGGACTCTAACTTTTGTTTCTAAATTTTTTATTATTCTTTTGATTTGTTTTCAACCCATGAGTTGGTAAAGTGAGACGCAATATTTGTTAACCCAGGTAAATATGACTCTACAACACAAGGCGAGGGCGGTAGAGTTAAAGAAGCACGAGCTATCAAGCATAGATATTTTGTTGGGGTCGACGCATCTGTGTCAGATATTTTATTGAATACGATATTCGTCGAATATTTGAGAATACGTATCGAATACGCTTCTTACCTATCTGATAATAATTAAATATTAACATATTTTATGAATATTTTTGTGTTCAAGAAATATATAAAATTTTTGAGTTGAATTTTTAATATTTTCTTTCGAATTCACATATCATACAATACATTAACAAAAATTTTATACTACTTCAAAGGCACATAAGTATTTTTTAAGTATTATCTACAATTACATGTCAAAAGAGTATAAAATAAATCTATTACATTATAGTTTTAGCAAAAATTATTTCTAAATAAACCGACTAGGTAAATGTTAATTTTGATTCCTTTAATTAATCACTTCACTTTGTAAATATATCATAGTGATGCAATATATATTTTCTTCAAACTAAAAAGAATTACAAATTTTCTTTATTATGTTAAAGAACTATCAAAATATATAAGTTTTATGCTGATTGAAAATAATAAAAATATTAAATATATTTTATTATAGACGTAACTTGATCGTACCCGTATATTTCTTTTTAGATTTTGTTGAATGGCCGTATCCATATTGTATTATATTCATATCTCGTATAAGTATTCGTGCTTCGTACAATATAAGTAATTAAAGGCTGTTTTGTAATGTTTGATTTAAAAAAAAAAAAAGATAATGTGTCATTATATGAGTGATTGTTGTAAACTCTCACTTTACCGTCTAACCGTGAAGAATTTAGTCTCTGTCTAGTGTTACTTTTTGTGTAGTCTACGTTACCATTGAATAGAAAAAAAAATGCATGAGGTCCAGTTTCTTGCCATTTCACTATACAAAGGAAACATGGGAACTACCAAATTGCTTTCAGTGTTGGTGTTGACGAAAAAAAAAGTTTGACCTGCCCAAAATTAGCGAATGCCATCCAAACTCATACGCTTTTCAGCCAAAAAAACAGATTCGTGTAAAAAAAAAAGGGTTCACAATGCGTGAGAAAGTTATTTTCAAGCCAAATTTTGAAAAGTTAGGTTTCTAATTTCCTCTCAAGCCGTGAATCTTGTGGTCATGAAACTTTTTTGGATTTTTTCATATTTTACGTGATTTACGATATATCGAAATTTTAAGGGATTCAATTAATGATTCCAAAGCATGAGAGTATTCTAATGGCTTTAATACCAATTTTGGTAATCGAAAAACATCTACGGAAGTGTAGGATCAAAGACATTTTTGCTTTAATCCCAAACTGTTTGAGGATGCTCCATGTTTCTTTAGAATTTGAAAATCGTCTTTTCTTTGATTGCATGAACAGTGGGAAGAGAGAGAAAAAGAGTAAGAGAATCAAACGTTTTGAGTTTTTATAATAATGTTCATTAGTTGCCTTAGGATATATAGGCAACTAATAGGTATCTTGGAGAAAACAGATGTCTATCAGTAGTTTAACATAAACATCCTTTGGGTGCTAAATGACTCTTCCAAGAGTCATGTCCCATAGGCATTCTGTAATTGGGTTGAACCATCACCGGTGTTCGATTTGGATCCATGACCCAAAACCCAATATCTAACAGGATGAAACAAGGGTTATGTAATTTTGATTGCAATGCAAAATAATTTAACAAAAAATAGAAAGGGTAAAATTAGATTCACATTTTTGAGTTTTAGTACAATAACAAGGAGAAACTTTGATATTTGAGAATAGAATTCCAAACTTTTTAAATGAAGGCATCACAAAATGGTTATTTTATTTTTATTGGACTCAATTGCAGAAATTAAAAGAATTCCAAACTTTTTAAATGAAGTCATCATAAAATGGTTATTTTATCTTTATTGGACTCAATTGAAGAAATTAAAAATAACTGAAAACTATAATAAATGTGAAATTTGAAACTTGTTTTTTGCTAGAATCCACATGACATCACATTTAGCTTCATATCTATCTAATAAAATAGCTAACATTTTAAATTTTAACCCCACATTTTTTTCACTCATTTCTATCTCATCACCAAGTTTTACCACAATTTAAATCATTTAAATTTTGACTAATTTGTGGCTCAATATAATTTTTACATCTAATAAAATAGCTAGCGCTTTGAATTTTTTCCCTTCATATTTTTTTGCTCATTTTTATCACACTCATTTCTACCTTAAGTTGAATTATTCAAATTTTGATTAATTTGTGGTTCAATATAATTATTATTTCAGACATTGTTCATATATGATAGTGTGCACATGTTCGATGATGTACAAAGTTGATTATGCATGATCAAATCAATCAAGTGTGTGTGGTGTAAAGCAATTAATAATAAGAGACAAAGATTAGGTGATTGGGTCTAAGTGACCTAACCACTGAAGGCGATAATGATGGTCTGAGAATTCTATTAATGGGAGAATACAACGTACTAGGGGAGAGAGAGATAAAACAAGAGTATGGTCAAGGTGTAGTGTGTGTCCCCTGTGTAAGGGGTTTACAATTTATAGGCACAAAGCCCTAGTTGAGCCGGTGACGTGAAAGCAAACCTACTAATCTATCGGGGAGGATAGATATGATTGGGGATAGGCATTATCTTAGAGTAATGGATATTCTGATGATTGCTCTCCCATGCACGCCGACTTTTCATAGACTCCTGAGTTTTGGATTGGACTGAGGTCATAAGCTAAGCATGGACTGGGCCCAAGCCCAATTGGATCTAGGCTCGTCATTCCCCCCCCTATGGTCCATACCCTAGTGGTGATAGGGGGTTGAGAGCATGAATGAGCTTCCGCATTTGGGTAGACCAGATATTTGTTCTACACAGATTCTTCAGCTTTCCACTCCATTACATTTTTTAAGCTTCTTTCCTCATTTGGTAGCACCATTTCTGAACACGAATAGTGCTAGCTAACATCCTCTTTTTCTGGGTCTTCTATTAGGTAGAACCCTTTTTCCCAAGGTACTAAAACTTAGGGCTTTTGAGAGCTATATATATTGACCCAAGAAGGAACTATTCATTTTCCACTTCCTTTTTGAAAACCCCTTCATTTCCTTTGTTCAAAGAAGTCGACGAAGAAAAGGAAACATGAATATCAAAGGGAGGATGATGCAAAGGAGGACTACAAGCTCCTCGACTAAACTATAGGTGCCAGATAGAGCCATGCAAGACGTCATGGGCTGCGCTATGAGGAATCTCACGCTTAGGCAAGGCGGTACCAAAGGGCAAGGTAGAGGCATGGGCAACGCCACTACTTGGGCTGGAGGCTACGCCGACGCAAGAGGATACCTAGGCGACGTCGTTGGCGCAGGCGACGTCGTTGGCGCAGGCGACGCCATTGCTGCAGGTGTTGGCGCAAACAAGGAGTTGGATGACAGAACTGGGGAGCTAGACACCAACAAGCAGCTGCCTAACATCGGCGTGCTGAGTAGTGAAGGCAGAGTCCTAGGCTTTTCTAGGGAGGGAGAGTGTGATGCCTTTTGAATTGGTAAGGCAATTTTGCTCGTCTCTTAATTCTTTCATTATTTTGGCACCTTTTTCACATTGGCTCTGATTTTGATAGCCGCCCAATCTAATAAGGGTACGATGGTGAACTCTAACAAGTCTCTCAATGAGGGAAGGGAGCTAATGATAGTGATGGCTCGAAGATAACTTCAATTTTTAGCTCCATAGATTGTGACAATGATATTCCTAGTATCTTAAATTTCTTCCATATCCCTCATGTTATTATGTGTCATGAGGCCGAGAAACACGAGCCATCATGTTATGATCCCTCTAGGGAGATTGTTTTCTATGGGGATGTCGTAGAGGCAGAATTGAGATTTTTAATACCTAGACCCATTTGTCGGGTTCTGGGTCACTTGTCACTTGCACTAGGGTGGTTGACCTCTAATGGTTGGAGGGTGATTTTGGCGTTCTTTTCATTGTGGCGACTGGTTCATGGTGAGGATGTTTTGCATCGTATGTGCTTTTGGATAACCCCATTCCCTATTAGGGATGGTACCACTTTGCTTCGAGATCAAGCAAGCTGATCACTAGATTGCCCTTGAACTGTCACAGTTGGAAGTTTAGGTTTTTCCTTGAACTGTCATGGTACCTTCGAGTGCTAGGGCTAGGCCTAGTACTACTTTAGGGGGCTGAGAATCTTGTGCGGTCTTCTGCCGAGACAAGAGCTCTGCGTAGCTATCCTACTTCCAATAGTGGTTCAGTATCCATGCTATAGGATGTGAACCTGGCCAAGGAGCGGCTTTGAAATTTTGTGTAACGCCCCAAATACCCCCTCGGACGGCATTACATTCTAAAACCTTTCACAATCATGAGAGCACTAAATAAATCCATAAATAAGAAATTTTTATCCATCAACCATTGATATTTTAACAAAATTCGGGCAGAGTCTCCTTTGTACGGGGAGCTCTACCACAAAATCCAACCTGTGCAATTCTACTATAATGACCACACCGGGTCCAATTAACTACTATATAATCAATCCATCAAATTTACATGTTAACCCAAAAAAATATGCCCACAATGGCATGTACATTCCCAAAGAATTAAACTATGATAAGCAGCGGAATTTCAAAAGATAACTAGACTTTACAATCTTTCAAAAAAAACATAGCCTAGTCTAGAACAAAATAGAAGGGCCGCTCTAGGCGTCCACCTCGGGATCTACGCTCCCGTCGATCGGAGTCTCCCAAAGAACGGGCTCCTCGACTCCTGGCTCCTCCTCAAGGATATAGTCTGAAAAATGTTAACAGTAGGGGATGAGCACTAGGCTCTGTAGCAAAATCTTCCCAACTCCAACAAGGTTTATAAAATACAAAACGGGTCGGTCACATTTCATAAATAACATATATGAATTTGAAGTAAAACGGGACATTTTAAATAGATCTCAAGTTTAAGCCATACAGTAGTTAAGGAGAGAAATAAATTAAGTTTAACCATAGCAAACCATTTCCAACATTAAGTCAATTAGGAGGGGCTCCCTCCGATGCATCGTCCCATACCAATGCACCGGCCAAGCCATTCCAGCCAATCATCACATTTATGTTGGTTCATCCCCGTACCATGTATGTTGATTGTTTCTCATGAATCTACCCAACGATTATACCTAGTCCACCCATTTATAATCACAATCACAAGTACTTAGGGAAGGGGCGTCTACCATCCCAATGGCAGTGACGAGTCCCTCCCCAGGAATGGTATACCAACCCTAGTTCGAACTCCAGGCGTACGATAGTGGTCGCATTACCAAATGACAACTCACTACAAGTGCAAGAAACCATCTCCCCCCCCACTGGGTTCAACTGACATTTACACTCTACGGCATATCTCGTAGGTAATCCAAGTCCCTCCCAACCACCATACAATGAGTAAACCAACATATTCTCAATCAATTCACATTTTACCAATTAATCGCAAAATACCCAAATTTCACAAGTAAAGCGTCATAGCAAGATGGAATTAAAATGAGCAAAAGATCAATATAAAGATCATTTTCGTTGAACAATATCGAACACTAAATTTATAAAGTGAGAACCAAGGCAATATATGGAGAAAACTCAATTTTTCTTAAAACCAAGTTTGGAAGATGAAAAAGAGAAATTTAATGGTTACCAAACCATCCCATTATTCAAACATAGCATTTATTACAAGGAGAATTAAGAATCATACAAATCATATCAAATAAATATGGATGGGAGTGGAAAACATATGTATATACATAAACCCTAGCCTCAATGTAAGAAATTAGGAAGAAATCCCCTACCTCTTGGTTGTAGCTTCAATCTAAGACCCAAGATTCAAAATCTTCCTATTCTCCTTCCTTTTCCTCTTAATTTCGTCCTCCTAGGGTTTCTAGAGATTTGGGTGTGAGTGGTTGAGGAATAGAAGCAAAAGAAATGGGTGGAGAAGAGAAAACTTGAGAAATTCGGTTTTGATCTTTATGAGGTGGGAATCTCTCTTGACCTTGGTGTTTTTCTCTCCCTTTTCTCTTCTCTTAGGGCTCTAAGGTATTTAGAGTGGAAGGGAAATGAAGAATGGGAGAAATAGGGCTTGGAATGGGTGTTTTAAAACCCAAAAATCCCGACTTTTACTGTTCATCGTCTGTTTTGGGGGTTTTCCAGACTTACTGTTTTCCTTATTTTTGATCATGATAAACTTTGAATCTGAAAAAGTGCAAAACATGAAAGTTGTAGATCTAGATGTCTTCTGCATTGTGTCAAAATTTCAGCTCAATCGGACCATTGTAGCAAGAGTTATGACGATTCTACGACAACTGGTCCGGAGTAGGCAATGTACCCGGAGCAGCGCCCCAGCGCCCATTTGGGCGCCCCTTTTCACTTCCAATCCTTCCAACTTTAATCCTAACTTATCCTACATACTTTTCTACATCGACCTAATTAGTTCAAGTTCTTTTATGATTTATTTTGTACATTTTCATACCGAAACTAATCTTTTAACTACTCTTTCCTTGAGTTATACTATTTTATCATTTCAAATGAAATAATTACTGAACACCTATGTCTTTTATTTTCTTTTATTTTATTTTATTTTATTTATTTATTTTTTTTTTTAAACGCATGTGGGGTATTACATTTTGTGATAGTTACAAATATTAGAGAGGTCGATTTTTGAGGTCTAGAAGGTATTATAGATACCCGTCATGGAGGGATTTGGTATGGTACCTTTCTTTTATGTTCAACCTTGATTTCTGCAACCCTTTTTTCTCTTATGTTTTTCTTCTGGATATTCGTAGATGGATGCCGCTTTTGCCTTTTTTTTTAGGACAATCAAGCTTGGTGAGGTGTCAAGGGCTCTGGCAGGAGAGAGACATTCACGCCAAGTTGCTGTGGAGAAATTGAGGTTAACTTATGAGAGAGTAACACCTCTTGATGTTGAGCTGTCAGTGTCCTGCGAGAGGGCCGCCAAGCTAAAGGCTAACAGGCAGACTATCTGCGCGAGAGCAGAGATAGAATTGCGAGTGGCCTGCGAGAGGGTTGCATGAGCTAAGGTGGAGCTTCGAATAGCTTAAGAGAGGGATGAAATGGTCGAGTCAGATTAGCGAGTAGCTCATGAGAGAGCCACCAGGGTAGAAGCTCATTCTATTGAGAAAGAGAGAAAACGGGAGCCTGTAGAGAGGGTCATTCATGATTTGAAGTGTGGGGTACAGGGGCTTTTATTGATGGTTATGAGGAGTTTAGAGGGAAGGCCTCAGAAGCTTTTCCTGATATTGACTTCTTTGGCTTCATCCAATATGAGGCACCAGGGACGAATTGTGATGGAGAAAGTTTTGATGAGAGTGGACCAGGAAGCATTAAGTGATTATCATGTGTATAACAATTTTTATATTTACTTGTCTGTCTTTTTGTGTCAGATCATACTCTGACTTTGTAAGTTGTTCACAAACTTCTATGGAACGAAAAAAGGATAGTTTTAGATAAAATAACCTTTGAAAATTTTTATTTTTTATTTCATAACTAAAGTAATAGATAACAAAGTAAATAAGTTGGCCGAACTAACAAATGCCATGACAACCCAATGAGAATCATTGGTTTTTTCTTGCTATTGATAATACTTCTTCAGGTGTTTGACGTTCCATGAATGGGGCAAGACTTTACCTTTAGAGTTCTAAATTCTATAGTTGCTTGGTCTTACAACTTCTGTCATGATGTAGGTTTCTTCCAAATTAGGGCCTAGCTTCCCTTCTCGTGAGTCCTTAGTAGATAGGATTACTTTGTTGAGAACTAGGTCCCTAGGCAAAAATCAGCGAGGCTTCACCCTCGAGTTGTAGTATTTAATTATGCAACGCTTGTATTCCACATTTCCAACATAGTCATTTCCTTGTCCTCCAGAATCACTGATTTTTCCTTGCTGTTGATAATAACTCTTCAGACGTTCGACGTTCCATGGAGGGGCCAAGACTTTATCTTCAGAGTTTTGAATTCTATAGGTGTCTTGTCTTACAACTTCTATCATGATGAAGGGTCCTTCCCAATTGGGGCCTAGTTTCCCTTCCCGTGAGTCCTTGATAGATACGATTACTTTCTTGAGAACTAGGTCCCCAGGTATGAAAAAACAAGGCTTCACCCTCAAGTTGTAGTTTTTGGTCATGCGGTGCTTGTATTCTGCATTCTTGACCATAGTCATTTCCCTTTCCTCCTCTACTAAGTTAAGATTAATCCAGAGACCTTCTTCATTAGTGGTTGGGTAGTGATGTTTGACCCTCGAGGAATGTACCCCAATCTTAACTAGTATAACCGTCTCTATTCCATAGGCTAAGGAAAAAGGGGTTTCACCGGTGGGGCTCCTTGGTGTTGTCCAGTAGGCCCATAGTACTCCAAGGAGTTAGTCCACCCACCACCCTTTGTCACTTCCCAACCTAGTCTTCAAGTTGCACAAGATTGTTCTAATAGTGACCGCCGCCTGCCCGTTTGCCTGGGGATGGGCGGGACTAGAGTGGAGTTGTTTGATCTGTAAGTCCTTACATAAGCCATTGAGGAGTTTGTTGTCAAATTGCTTAGTATTGTCACTTACTATATCATAAGGTACTCCAGAACGACACACTATGTTCTTCCAAATGAAGTCCTTCACTTTCTAATATGTTATTCTGGTTAGAGAATCAGCTTCTGCCCATTTTGTGAAGTAGTTAA